AGCCTATACGTCCACTCAGTCCTACTTCTTGTTCAGCCAATCATTAAGACAAACAAGTTTGTTTACATTTATGGGAGATAATGCTGCCCTCTTCTTATTTACAATGTCACCTGAAAGTGAGAACAGCTGTTCACATGGCACTTTTGTAGCTGGCATTGCAAGGTATTTACGTGCCAGATATTCTAAACATTCGTATGCCCCTTCATGCTTCGGCCACCATTCCAGGGGACATGCTTCCATGCTGATGACGCTTGTTTAAAAAAAAAAATGTGTTAATTAAATTTGTGACTGAACCCCTTGGGGGAGAATTGTATGTCTCCTGCTCTGTTTTACCCACATTCTGCCATATATTTCATGTTATAGCAGTCTCGGATGATGACCCAGCACATGTTGTTCATTTTAAGAACACTTTCACTGCAGATTTGTCAAAATGCAAAGAAGGTACTAATGTGAGATTTCTAAAGATAGCTACAGCACTCAACTCAGGGTTTAAGAATCTGAAGTACCTTCCAAAATCTGAGAGGGACGAGGTATGGAGCATGCTTTCAGAAGTCTTAAAAGAGCAACACTCAGATGTGGAAACTACAGAACCCAAACCACCAAAAAAGAAAATCAACCTTCTGCTGGTGGCATCAGACTCAGATGATGAAAATGAACATGCGTCGATCCTCTCTGCTTTGGATCGTTATCGAGCAGAACCCATCATTAGCATGGACACGTCCTCTGGAACAGTGGTTGAAGCATGAAGGGGCATATGAATCTTTAGTGCATCTGGCCATAGGTGCTGACCTGCCCTCTGCCCCGCCCACACTCCACCCCTTCCATGCTGCCCCACCCCCATTCCATCCCCTTCGCCAAAGTCCTCACCCCAACTCCACCCCCTCCCTGCCCCTATTCCAACTCCTTCCCCAAATTCCCACCCCAGCTCGCCTCTTCTCCTTCCTCCTCCCCTAGGTGGGCCACGTTCCCGCTCCTCCCCCTCCTTCCCAACACGCCGCCAAACAGCTGGGAGGTAGGCAGAGGAGCGGGGATGCAGCACGCTGGGGGGGAGGAGGTGGGGTGGGGGGTGATGGGAGCTTGGCTGCCAGTGGGTGCACCCATGGAGTCAGTGCCTATGCATCTGGCACGTAAATATCTTGCGATGCCAGTGGCATGCAAACGTCTGTTCTTACTTTCAGGTGACGTAAACAAGAAGAGGGCAGCATTATCTCCTGCAAATTGTAATCAAACTTGTTTGTCTGAGCGATTGGCTGAAGTAGGGCTGAGTGGACTTGTAGGCTCTAAAGTTTTACATTGTTTTATTTTTCAATGCAGTTATTTTTTTGTACATAATTCTACATTTGTAAGTTCAACTTTCATGATAAAGAGATTGCACTATAGTACTTGTATTAGGTGAATTGAAAAATACTATTTCTTTTGTTTTTTTACAGTGCAAATATTTGTAATAAAAAATAAATGTACACTTTGTATTCTGTTGTAATTGAAATGAATATATTTGAAAATGTAGAAAACATCCAAAACATTTTAAAAATGGTATTCTATTCTTAACAGCGCGATTAATCGCGATTAATTTTTTTAATCGCTTGACAATCCTAATTCTTACCAAATGATCCTAGCAACAGGGCTGACCAAATTCTCAGGTCAGAACCCCTCCCAAAGTCCAAAGACTGGTTTCTTTGTCTTCTCAGGTGAAAAAGTGAGAAAGAGAGAGAGAGAGAGATGGAGATGGACAGAAAGAATACCTTGGGTGTCTTTGCTCCCCTCTTTTATGATCCAGTCACTGTTTGAAATGCATTTTATTGAGGGTTACCCCTAGATAAAGTTCCTTCCAGCTGTGAGGACGGAGACATTGAGTATCATAGTGAAAGAAGTTCCATGTTGTTGTTTGTAAAAATGCTAATCAATCTGTTTTTGCCCCCCCTTTGCTACCAAAGAATGGCCACTTGACTTTTGATGGCCAATCAACTTTGATGACACCGGCTACAGGCATCAGCTTGCCCTTTGCTCTCCCCAGACTTGTCTGGTAAACACATTTCAGTCATAACTTCAGGTTATGTTCATAACTTTACATATAAATTCCCATTATATTTTCCCATTATATGAGGTATTCATTTTCAAATTATACCTCACAAGGCATATTTTGTACAAAGATTATTACAGTAGAGTGTAGGGTGTGAATACAGGAATGCATTCGGTCACACAAGCTTGAAAACATAAAGCTAAACAGTTTTTGAGTTACAGGTGATTATAAACTACTCTGATTGGAAATGTTGACTTTGTCTAATTTTCTTTGTCTCCATCTAGCAAAATTATAACTTGTCACAATCCTGTTGGGTTTTGACAGGTGTATATATATTGTCACTTAACAATATTAACTTTTTTTTTAAACTAAGGTTTTTGGGTTTTTTAGAAATATACCAAGTTAAAGAAGGGTCAACAAATCAGTTTGTAGCATAGTAGTCCCCACTAGATTACGCAGAGCATATCTTGAAATGCTGTTTTCATTTACAGTCAGTAACCCACAGAATTTAATTCTTGTAAAGCCCTTTGAGACCTTTGGATGAGGTGAAATGTAAAGGTTTTACCTGCACATTTACCAGATGAATCTATGAAAGATTATAAATAATTTACTAGATCTCTTTCTACCTGACTTAAATCAGAATAAATAGCTCTAACCTCAAGATTAGATGATTATCTCTGTTACATCCTGTTGTATTGCTTAATAAAACAATCCTCAAATTCTTTGTTCTCCTATTCCATTTTGGAAGACTGACAGTTCATATATCTACTCCTGGCACAAAAGAAGGCATGCATAATTTACATAACAAAATTTCACTTGCTTCTAAACATAATTTGAACTTTTAGAGCACACTTGTACAACATTATTTAACACTTCTTTCTTCTTTAATAAACATCCCACTTGAGAGGTAGAGAGGCTAGGAAATGAGGAAAGCTGTCATCCCACATTCTTGCTTAAGAAGTCCTCACAGCATATCCAAGTCTCCCCAAACACAATTTATAACCTTGCAGTACAAAAAAGGCATCTTCCTGACTGTTACATATATTCTAAGTAAGATGGACTTTGCTGCAGAAATCGCAGGAAGGAAATGCTCCTTACCCCATCTCTCCCCTCTTTCAGTAAAATGTAAACCCTTTAGGACCTCTTCATTTTGCAGTTAAATTTGCCTTTCCTAAATCGTTTTTACAGATATTCTTTGCTCTCTTTGCTCAAATCCATATGAGCAAAATAAACCTAATAATGATCTTGAATTTATATCACAGCTTGTAACCAGAAGATCCCAGATAACTTTATATGCTGTATTAGTAAAATCCTCTGGAGGTGACATGCGTGTGTGGTTAAAAATTGTATTTAAAAAAATCAAACTTCCATACTGTATGTTATAGGAATACTACTACTTTATGTTATTAGTCTTTAATCTGAGCATCTCATAGCACTTTTACATATATTAGTGAATTGCAATTGTAACAACCCTCTGAGGTAGGTATTTTTAGTCCCATTTTATAGCAAAACTTAAGTACAGAGTGATTAGGCCCCAATCCAGCAAATGCTTACATTCAGGAGCATTTTTACACACATGCAGTTCCAGTGACTTCAAGGGGTTACTCATGGGGGTCAGGTTTAGCGTGTGTGAAACAGCTTGTCCAAATTCAGGCAAGAAAGCCAAGAAAAGAACTCTGCACTCTAAGTCCTTTGCTATAGCTGGAAGTCCATCTCACCATCTCATTGCCTTCGCTGGCACGCTTGTGTGGGTCTAGCTTTTGCATTTCTCTCAACAGGGGCAAGGCAGAGACCAATCAGCACCACTTTTGTTGCTAGTCCCTTTCACAGGCCATTCCTCCGTGTCCCCCCCCTCCCCCACGTTTGTTTACCCAGGGACTGACTGAGAAGCTTCCCAGAACCATTCCCAATGCTTAGGGTTTGGATTTTCCAAAGCTACATGTGGGGTCATATTGGATCCAAGAGCACCATCAGGGAAGGGAGAGGGTTGGGGTGGGCCTTTTTTAAAGCCCATTTCAGAGGCTATAGCCCAGCAAATCCCCAGGGCAGCAAGCACCTACCCTGCTCGCTCCTTTTTGGGGAGGGCTTCCCCCTCCCCCTTGACTCGCTGGGGCAGCCGTTCCCACTGCCACTCTCCCATAGGTGCAGGAGCTAGGCGAGCTGCTGCACCCCCTGCCTTGAAGTGGTTCCCATCACATACAGGGTTTACAGTTTGGTTCAATGGCTCTCAGCACCCCCACAACACAAATTGTTCCTGTGCCCCTTCGCTTGGCCCAGGTGCCTGGAGGGGGGTGGTAGAAAACGGGGCAAAGGGACTTCCATGGGGAATTGGGGGTAGGCTGACCAGATGTCCCGATTTTATAGGGACAGTCTCGGCTTTCTCTTATATGGGCACCTATTACCCCCCCACACTCTGTCCGGATTGTTCATACTTGCTGTCTGGTCACCCGAACTGGGGGGATCGCCCCTAGCTGCCAGGCCCCTCCTCTGGGGAAAGGGGACGGAGGGAGGATGGCGAGAAAGGGGCGGGAGGGAAGGAAGGATAGAAAAGGGGGTAGAGGGGAAGAAAGAGGGAGCTGGGAGGGGATCGACAGACCCAGCTCTTGACTCTTGGGCAGAGCTGCTGCTGGAGCCGTTTCTGGGATGGCGGGGAGCGGGTTTCTCCGCAGCTGGGATGGGAGCGAACAGGGGCTGAGCAAGCCAGGCCACGCGGGAGCGTTCGGCCTTGGGCAGGGTGCTGCTGCATCACGTCCCGTGACTTCCTCCCAATGAGGAGGGAAGCCGCTCCGGAAAAGCACAGCAAGAGAAACGCCCCTCAAAATGGCGACCACCCGGAGGAACGGGTCCCCCCCAAATACACTTCCGCCCCTCAACATGGCCGACAGGAAGTGAGATTATCGAACCAGCAGAGCCTATCACCAGCGGGCTGCAGTGCGGCGGCTTCAGCTCGAGGAGGAGCGCAGTGGAGGGGCGTGTCCGGATGGAAACGCGGCTGGCGGAGGAGGCGTTCCGCGAGGACGAAGGTGGGAGAGCGGGGAAGGAGCGAGCGCGGAGAGGAGCCTATTATCTGCGCTCCAGGCAGTCGCTGCGCCAGGGAGCGGTGGAGATGCAGACACGGCAGAGAACCGGGGCCAAGCAGCCAGGGCCGGAGACCAGGCGGCGGGACGCTGAGGCTTCGGAAAGTGAGTGACTGAGGAGCGGTTGCCGACCCGCGCTGTTGGTGCGGGCGGGCGCGCGTCGCGCCCCTGCTGCATCCTCTGGTTCAGGGCACGTTGGGGTGCGGTGAAGGGACGCGGGCGGGGGCCTCGGAGCGCTGCGGGATGCTCAGGGGGAGGGAGCGATGTAATGGGGGCGCGGGCATGATCCCGTACCAGCGTGGGGTGGGGGTAGACCGTGCCCCGCTCGCCCGGGAGGGGAGGGCGCCCTGGTCCCTGCCTCACCGGTCCCTGCAGCCGGTCGGGCTCGGCGGGGCGGGGCCCCGGGGGTGGGAGGGTGTCAGGGTCCTGAGCCCTCATTGGGTTCAGTGAGAGCTGCCGTGCTCAGCATCTAGGCTGGGGATCGGGGAGACCATCACCGTGGTGGGGGTCACGGTGCACCCCGTGTGCGTGCATGCTGGACCCAACACGTGCGGGGCTCCCCAGGGGAGAGGCACCGCTTGGCTGCAGCACGCTGGGGCTGGGTTGGGTTTCCTTTCCCCGTACCCCGCGTCTCAGCTTCTCCCTGAGTTTGCCTGCTCAGTGTCCGGAGGGGACAGCTTAAACGCAGCAGACTTTACTTCTGTCATTGGCAACTAAACGGCTTCAGAGGGGCAGGTGAATGAAATGCAGGCAGCAAAAGTCTCCTTCGCTAGCATGAGGGGCTTTACACGCTTCCCTTAAAACTGTTTCCAAGATAAGGAAGGCTGGGCAGACCCAGGTGGGGAAGATGGGGCAACCCGGCTCCATCGGAATCGTTAATGTGACAGTGACATCTGGCCAATAAACTAATCTGGTTTAAGCAAATCAGTTGTGCTGCAAGAAACAGGGTCGGGCCAACTGGCTTTTGAAAGCAGAATGACATCTTTATTTTGGGTACAATTAAATTCCATTCTCTTACCTGCTTGCATCTGTTTTCTTTCGTACAGTCAATGTGTACTTTTGTTTCTAGCAGGGTTGCCATTTTAAGGAGGGTAGAGTTTGCTATTAACCTTCAGTGGCCTGGCCTGTCTGAGGCAGGGAGAGAAGAGATGTGGTACAGAGGACATTCAGCTTGGGCATTGCGCTGGGCATTTTCCCACCAGTTTTTGTCTATGGTAAAAATCTTTAGGGAATCTACATGGAGACGGTTGAGTTGTGCAGTGTGCTACATTCTTCTTAGCTGTCTCCCCACAACATAACTTTGTATCCAACATCAGTTTTCTTTCAAAGGACCAGAAGGTGTTAAAAATACACTATCTGCCAATGAATTGTAGTTATCAAATAGTTGACATGTTACATTAAAGTTGTATAGAAGGTATTTTTTAAAGTGAATCCCCAAAAGACTGGAATGACACAGCTGAAGTTACTTGTACACCATTAATTCAGCCCCCTTGTAAATATTTATTACAATACAATACTTAATTATATGATTGCATACTTTTTGTGGGCTCCTGCCTCGTTCGTTGTGCAGGTTGGACTCTACGCTGTGAAGGCTTAATTTTGCTACTCTTACTCATGTTGTGTAATACCATATGACTTACGCAGTAGCATTCATCTTAGTGAGTAAGGATAGCAGAATTGGACCCTGTGTGTAAAGTGTGTGACATTTATATTTAAATAGCTCACTGAAACAAGTGAAGAGCCAGGCTGTGTGTTATACAATTGCTATGTCTGTGGACATGGAACACTTCCTCAATGGAAATAAAACGTACTCAAATATTTTTAACTAAATAACCTGTAGACTTGATCCTGCGCAGTGAGTTCACTCTTACCTTATTCCCTGTGCACCAGAGACCAAATTTTGCTCTGTTACTTCAGTATAAATTTAAAACATGGAATTCAGCTTTACTTTGTATCAGTGTTAGTTGGTAAGGAGGCCTGCCTCATTCTCCATGTAGTAAATCTAAAGTGCGGTAAAACTTCTGGCTTCTACATAGTTCTAGATCTGTGCATGAGAGGGGGCTACTTTTATAGCTGCTCTCCTGCAAAGTTCTTCACATCCCTTAATGTATTTCACACTTCTCTGAATAGTTGTTTCAGGCTCTCTGCCGACTTTGTCAGGCTTCATTACATCTGTTTCCAGTCAGCTCACAGTTTGAATGTTCTCTGTGTAACCATAAGGGGTTTAGACTTCATTTTTGTTTTGTTTTGTTTTGTTTTTTAAGAACCAGTTTAGTTTCTGGTAGGGATTTAAATACTGTTTAAAAAGTTAACTGTTTAAACAATAAAAAATATTTAATTTAAATGGTTAATTGCTGAGATCTATTTCGTCTCCTATCCTTGCACTCTTAAAATTAAGCAGGAAGGCTTAAGTTGAATAGTAAAGCCTGTGCATTTCAATATTTGATGACAATTCTTTTATGCACAACTTGCGTCTCTTATGTGGTTATATGAGTGACTTTACTAATTCAATCTCAGTGCTCTTATAAACTGAATAAAAATTGAATTTCCAGACTGATTCAGACATTTTTATTTCTATAGATGTGTACACTAAATTACCTGTTTGTTTCTAAAGTACCTGTTTGTTTTTTTTCTGTGACTGTTTTGAAGACGAAGTGTCCACATACAGAACCAGAAGACAAAGGGACAACACAAATTACAACAGCCAGACACACTTGACAGAAGGTAACAGTGGGCTTCCTTTCCCTTCCTTTCCCAGTTAGAGGAAGTCTTCCCCTCCTGGATCTTATGAACTGCTATCCAACAATAAATTAGTTCCTTAAAATATCTACAGTACCCAGTTTCAATAATTTACCTATCTGCAGAGAAATACTAGACTTCACTCTGCAGTATTACGTGTCTTCTTTCAAATACTTAAGGTAGGCACTAATAGATTTTAAATTGCTATTGCACAGTAAAGGCACTGTTGTGCTCTTTCAAATACACCTTAACAGGATAGTTACTGTGAAAAAGGTATCCAAAGCCCTTTGCAAGGAAATTAGTAGGAGTCTGATTCAGTTATTTTTTTGTATAGTCTTCATTAATTTATGATTAATAAAAATATAATATTCCAAAAATATTTTTAATATTGAGGCCCCTTGGGTCTCAGCACATAGTTTAGATACATCAAAATCAAACATTTGTATGTAGGATTCTGCTAGGCCAAAAAAAACCAGTATTTATTTGTTGTTCATACAGTGAAGTATTCTTGAATCAACGATTGGTTTCCTAATCCATTGGTGTTCAATTATTCCACATGATTAGGAATTAGAAGGATGGTATTACTAAACAATTTTTTTTAGGACTTGTTATCTTGCTTTTATTGATCTCTGGGCCTCTTTGATGCTTTAACCTCTCTAGGATTAGGGTTTTTGGGGAAGGTTGGGTGAGAAACTTCACTTCCTCTTTAGCTCCTCGATGACGCATGGGGAAGTTTCATGGAGCCTGATCATTGATTCTTTAGGATTGATCTAGGGGCAGATTTTGGGGCAGGATCAGACATTGCTTCATTTAGAGAAGTTTGGTCTGACTCATGCGGTGAATGAATGACTTCAAAGCATGACCTGTCTCAGTCCCTGTCATAGAATCTTATGCTCTCACTCATTCAGGACTGAATTCTGCCTGCCTTGCACCTTAAGCAAGTGCAATTTTTGATCTTCAGATCCAGAGCACTGGCCAGTACCCCTTGAACTAAATGAGTGACTGCTTGAGGTAGTGGATTATAAGCTTCTGTGTAGACCAGCTATTAGAGGGTGATGAGGCACACACTTTGTCAGTGGGTTTTTCAGCTATTTGCTATATGGCAGAAGAATGCTGAGACTTGAGGATCCTGGGATTAATTCCAGCCTCCAGAGGGAAGTGTCCTCTAGTGGTAATAGACCCTTCTGCCCCATTCCCCTTGCTTGTCTCTGCCACTCTCAGCTCCTGTTCCTGTCCCCGCATCCCCTTTGCTTCTGCTCCCACTTTGCTGCCAATACTCTGGATACACTAGCCACTTCTTGACCTGCACAGACCCTGCAAACCTCAGGAAAATTGCCAAACTGGAGTTGTGGACTTGAGAAGACCATGTTCTTGAAGAGATGGAGTGGAGGGTTAAAGTACTTGTGGGGGAGGAGTGACTGCTTTGGTGACTCCCTGATCTTATTTGCCATACCCAACAGTCTCATAAGAGTTAACAGTCCAGCCAATCAGAAACTAGCATATTTATAGAGTTTTTTTCTCTGGTTAGCGGAAGTGTGTCAAACTGTTCTATAAACCCATCAGAACCCAGTTTTTCAAAATGTTACACTTTTAATGTATGCCTCTCCCTTGTTTTAGGGAGTAAAAGTGCATTTGGCATAGTAGATATATCGCCTTTGGTTCGACCGAGTATAAGAAAGAGTCGACAGACAGGTAAATTAACTTTTAAACTTAAAGGGCGGGGTTTTTGCTAGTTGCAGTATAATGTTACTGAAACACACACAGGACTTGTGGGAGCATAGTTCAGTGATCACAGCAGGGAGTGGGAATTAGGGGACCTCAGTTCTATTTCTGACTTTGCTGTTGACTTGCTGTATAATCTTGGGCAAGTCACTTAATCTCTCTGCAATTTGCTTTTTTCTCTAAAAATGGGGATGGTACTCTCCTATCTCACAGGAGTTTGTGAGGATTAATGTATGTATGTAAAGCCTTTGAGATCATCAGATGGAAAGTGCTGTACAAGCGTATATTGTTTTACAGTGCATGAGTTGCAGTAATAGTTGGCTGGGATATTGCAACATATAGTAATTGAGTCAGATAGCATTGTGTGGTTTTGTAAAAGCACTGAGTAAATGCTATGACCAATAGTATCTGTAGTTATGCAAGCTAAGAGAAGGGTAATAAGATCTCATGATTCAAGATATAAATTAACAAGGAGTCCGGTGGCACCTTAAAGACTAACAGATTTATTTGGAAATAAGGTGTCGTGGGTAAAAAGCCACTTGTGAAGAAGTGGTTTTTTTACCCATGACAGCTTATGCCCAAATAAATCTGTTAGTCTTTAAGGTGCCACTGGGCTCCTTGTTGTTGTTATGAATACAGACTAACACGGCTACCCCTGATACTTGAAGATATAAACTGACTCTCACAAAAGGGTTGAGAAGGGATCCTTCCCAGACCATCCAATGTATAGCATTACACTTCACCAAATGCATTATTGGGATTTGGCAGTATCTTCTCTAAAGCATCAAACATAGACCACTGCCAGATGCGGGTTACCGGGCTTGATAGACTAATGGTTAGGTGTAATTTGGCACATCCCATGTTTCGTTAAAAAACAAAAATATGAAGGACATAATGAAGTTTTAATTTGCCAACCTCTGGCGGTTGGGAGGGGAGCTAGGTCTGTTTTACAAGTGAGTGTGCAGCCTTTGCAGTGTCCTGAGAAATGTATCAGTCACTGCATCAGATAACCACAGCACGAACATGACTGCTGCATTTCCTTCCTTTTTTTCTGTTTATCGTTCTTGTGTTGTGTTTTGCCTTACAGAAAACACGGTCTCCAGTGCAAGTAGAGATTTCAAAAGGAATGAGTCAGGTTGGTTCAAGTGACTTTTTTCCCCCTTTAAATATTCTGCTCTGCTTACTGTTATAGGGTTGTTTCTATGAGTTTTGCTTGTTATGACTGTTATGCCCAGAGAGAGAGAGTGAGAGCACATGCAGAACAGAACATTGCAACTGGAGTTTGCTGCTACTTGAAAAATGCCGAGATGTTGAGTGTTCCAAGTATAGACCTTTGACAATGTGCTATTACAATGACTTTTTCTGATTTCCTCCCCTGCCCCAATACTGTAAGGTTGAGGTCTAACTGCATGACACTAGAAGCTGATTGGGTGGATTTTTCTTTCGAAAGGATTTCAGTTTACTCAGAACTGCATTTGCTATGAGACCCCAATGAGTAGAACTGAAACTTAAAAACCAGTATCCCAGTGCAAAAACTTCAAATAGCATGTGACACAGTTGCAGCAATGACACTTAGGGTATGTCTACACCCAGCCGCTAGTTCGGCGGCTGGCAATCGAAGTTCTGGGTTCGACTTATCGCGTCTTGTCTGGACGCGATAAGTCGAACCAGGAAGTGCTCGCCGTCGACTGCGGTACTCCAGCTAGACGAGAGGAGTACCGCGGAGTTGACGGGGGAGCCTGCCTGCCGCGTGTGGACCGAGGTAAGTTCGAACTAAGGTACTTCGAACTTCAGCTACGTTATTCACGTAGCTGAAGTTGCGTACCTTAGTTCGATTTGGGGGTTTAGTGTAGACCAAGCCTTAGTGGTTTAAGCGTAGACATTTACTACAGCGACAGGAGGGGTTCTCCCATTGCTGTAGTTAATCCACCTCCTCGAGAGGCAGTAGCAGGGTGGATGGAAGAATTCTTCTGTTGACCTTGTGCTGCTTACAATGAGGGTTAGGTGATCTTACCTATATCATTCAGGGGTGTGGATTTTTCACACCCAGGAGTGATATAGATCGGTCAACCTAGCTTTTTAGAGTAGACCTGGCCTCAGGTGTCAGCTATATATATATTTTTTTTAAGCTATATATTTAAAATTTTTGTAAATGAACAAAGATTAAGAAGGTTATAAATGTCAGTGCTCTTATTGTTTTAAAAACAAAACCCTCCATTTTATAAGTGATTTTTGAGCTAAAGGCATGTTTTGGGTGCTGGAAGTATTTGTCATTTGGCTTCGTGCCTCATTGTCTTTACAGTTATCACGATAACCACATTCACTATTGTGTATTGTATCTTATACACTGAATAATTTTGCAGATATAATTACATTGCAGAGTGGATTTTGATACTGTAGGAATGGCTGAGCTCTATACCAGTTTTAAAAACTGGATTCTGAAGAGTTTAAAGAACAGTCTTATATGCTTTGGCTATCAGAAAATACTCTAGAAATGGTAGTTTCGAATTGGCTGGAGTGTTACCTACTGTTGGGTGTGTCAAATAAGATCGGTCACCCAAAGAGGGATGCTCTGAAGATCCACCATGTAGGTAGGTGATAGGCCCTGTCTAAAGCTGCTGATTACAGCAGCCTTGTGTTAGGTGTGGCTTGTTAACTCCTCCATTCCTATAAGGGAGGTGGGAGTGATACTCTGGGCAGAAGGATCCAGGGTCTGGGACAGTTAGGGCCAAAGGGAAGAACCTAGGAACAGCCAAGCCTGAGGCTCAGGCTGGAATTTTTCCCTTTTTGATAAAGCCAGACTCCAGGCAGGGTGAGAGTTTGCTGTACTAAGAGCAGGTTAAAAATGCTACCTGCTCACACAATAACTTTTTCCTCCCCAGTCAGGCAGTTTGCGTTACTAGCTGGTGAAATTAGGCAAGATTTATACCCTAGTTCGTATCTGAGGTTCTACTGTAATAAGTAATTAATAGACTGCTGCCCCATCACTTAAAGCATCTAGCACTACAGTGTACTGGAAAATATACTGTAGGAACAGTCCTACCCTGGTCCCTGGTAGATGGGATAATCAGCTTTTTCCATTACCAGTTTTCAAGATTTTAGAACATCAACGTCATGGGTCAAGTGCAAGACCTTCCCGCAAATCTAGGGAAGATGGGTTTTCAAGACTGTTGCAATATGCTATCAGAAAAGTAAATAGTCAAGGAACTCAAGACAGACTGCTCACATATTCAGAAACCCCTACTTAAAAAAAAAAGTGCATGCAGTCTGGTTTGCACCATACTCAGCTTGATCAGAAAACTAGACTAGTCAGTTTCACTTTCTTAGATTCACTTCCTGGCTCTCATGCAATAGCACAATTGCATCTGGGTTTTGTGAGGGTGCCAGAGGTCCAACCCTCTTGGGAAATATTTCACCACCAAAAGAATATAACACTGTTTTTGCTGAAGTGTTTATTTAAGTTTTCACAAAGACATTTCTTTATGCTAAGGGCTGGTCAACACACAGTTTAAGTACTGACTTACCTGTATCAATTTAAAACCTGATCGTTTGGATTGGTGCAACTCCACACTGTGGACACAATTATATGGGTATAAAGCTGCTTACATCCATATAGCTTATTTCCATAACAGAGTGTGAAGACAAGCCCTTTAATTTGTAAAGCTTTTCTTTCATGCAAAACCTACATTTGGGGCCTTAACTACTTGTCAATTCATCTTTAACATTCTTAGGCTATCCAGACACTCATGCACTCCTAATAGTTTACACAACATACATGCAGGTGAATCGTGCAGATCATCTCGCTGTCTCTCTTTAGATGGAAGGAAAGAAAACAGAAAGAAAGTGATACTTATTCTAGGAACAGCTCACACCAATTTTTGTGCTAAATTTAAAATGTATTTTTCCAGTTTTAAAAATACTCTCCAGTTATCAAACAGTAAGAACAGCATAATGAAACATAAGATTAAAATACACTGCTGCAGCACATAAAAGCTGCAAATATGAAATCAGATGTCTATATTGTTCAATACAACAGTTCTTTAAATCACTACTATTACTTGAAGCGAAAATATAGCTATTAATTCCCTTACAGACTTTAGCAGTTCCAAAGATTTTTAACCTGGCTGTAATCATTTGCTACTGACAGAAGTTTGGGAAACACAGGAATTCACTCCAAGAGCAATTTTCAAATGTTCTTCTGTATGTCTTAGGCCCTATAACACTAATGGTTAATGGGGAGTCTCCTTTAACTCAGGTAACAGTGGTCTATCATCTTGGAGAAACTGGGCTGTGCGGGGGATAAAATTATGTAAACAGAAATCTCTGAAATAATAGCAAAAGGGTATAGACCGTCCTTTTCAGCTATGTAAACCACAGCTTGTTTTCTTTTTACAAGGTTCAGTGTCAAGTTCCTTTTAAGAAACAAACCTTTGTTTCACAAACCCACCCTTAAATAAATCATCTGCAGAATTAAGCAGTTATTTGTCAACTGGAGGGTTTTTTCATAAGCTCTCTATTACAGGAACAAAAATCATAGGAAAGAGGAAGATGCAGAGATCTGCAATTTCGCTTCCCTCATGAAACTCATAAAGCACAGTCCACTCAGCTTATCTGTGTCCATGTGATTATAGGAGTAAATGCTATGATCAATAGTATCTGTAGCTATGCAAGCTAAGAGAAGAGTAATAAGGTCTCATGCTTCAAGATATAAATTAACAAGGAGCCCGGTGGCGCCTTAAAGACTAACAGATTTATTTGGGCATAAGCTGTCGTGGGTAAAAAACCACTTCTTCACAAGTGGTTTTTTTTACCCCACGACAGCTTATGCCCAAATTTGTTATTCTTAAGGTGCCACCGGGCTCCTTGTTGTTGTTGTTGTTGTTGTGGATACAGACTAACACGGCTACCCCCTGATACTTGAAGATATAAATTGACTCTCACAAAAGGGTTGAGAAGGGATCCCTCCCAGACCATCCAATGCATAGCATTACACTTCACCAAATGCATTATTGGGATTTGGCAGTACCTTCTCTAAAGCATCAAACATAGACCACTGCCAGATGCGGGAGGGGGACATGCTGTTTACTTACACACTCACACACACAACTCCCCCCCCCCACCACCACCACCACCACACACACACACACGGCTGGGAGAGGGACAAGCTTGCAAACTCAGTCCGACCCAGGGAAAGAAGATGCCTGCAAGGAAGCTGCTGGTGCTGAGGGAGCTCAGCTGCTGGATCTGAAGCCCAAACTGCGCTTTGTTCGGCATTATGAACATTTCAGAGTTACGGACAACTTCCATTCCCAAGGTGTCCGTAACTCTGAGGTTCTACTGTAATAATCACCTTACAAGTAGCCATTCAATTTATGTTTTGTAAACATCACAGATTTTATTACTTCAAAAAGATAGTCCATTAGTAGAACTAATTCACTTTTTTATTTGCACTGATATATTCATTTTGTAGATAGGAAATTCCTATTACATTTAAACAGGATGTTTAGAACCCAAGATACTACAAAAATTTTCTCCACTTGCTCACTTTCTAGAGTAAATCCTAATCTATCAGACAAACAATTTAGAGTGAAGCATATAAATTCCTTTTAAATAGGCAAACAGACTGCTATTGAATCACTGACTGACACTGTTGCAACAGAAGCAATTTTTTAGTAGTTAAATCTCCTGGAATCCCAAAAGAATTCAATAAAAGTAAAGCCCTGTCTGAGCTTATTGGTTTTTGAGAAGTTTGAAAGCTGTACATATTTCTTACATGCTATTAGGGCATAAGATAGCAGTCTTCCCTAAACTGGCCTTGGTGGCCACTGTGAGCCACAGTGTTTGCATTATATAGGGGAGTTTTTAACTATTAATTGCAAATTTAGGCTTGGAAGAAGCCCTGGTACATTTTTAGAAGTGAAGATTGAAAGAACTTAATGTAGGAAGGCAAAACTGAGATCTTGAGCACAGTTTGAGAGCAAATGATTATGAATCGCTTGTGCAGCTATCAGCCATGTAAAAATACCTGGCCTAATGGATTTGTTGTGAATACAGTGGTGACTGTGACACACTTGAAGAGTAAAAAACTTTTGCTAATAGTTGCTATGCCCCTTTTTCTGTAAGTTCTAAACTAAC